CTTTTTTATGTGATATACATTAGAATCTCGAACCGAATCCTTTATATATGTAAATTGTTTTAGTTCCACGTGCCATGCCTCTTCCGGGTATTTCCCTTTAACTCAACTCTCCAAGTTTTTTGTTCACCTATGCTGTGGTCAGGTATTGAATTCACAACCCATTGGGTCAAGTCACTGGATTACCAACGCTTTTATACACTTGGCCATTGACGACAACATGTATTTGATATTTTATATGCATTCTAGTCTTTGAATAAATTAGTCACGTTAAAAATGTTTTAATAAAGCAAAAGCCATATCAGATCTATGAAACCTGGAAAAATACGACGTGAAACAAAATAAATATTAAATTATTTTTTATAATTGTTGTCTAGAAATAAAATAGCTATTATTATGCTAACTTACTTTGTCATTAATATACTTATGTTTAGGATTATAGAATTACCCTGAAAAATGACTCTTGAAAGGCTTAGTTTAGTGGCAGGGTTATGATTAACGTTTTGTATACTTGTGTCTTCGTGGCAATACTGCCTTGCACGGAGTGATACCGATTTTTAAAAAAGATTGTATACGAAGTTTTATTTTGGGGAGACATTTATGGAAACTGAAGACATTAAATATGTTTATAGATGATGAATACAAACAGAAGACCATGTAAGATAAGTGTTGAGGGGGTCCACCCCTTTTTACACAAATGGACTCACCCAGTATATACATATAATACGGCTACGTGAAGACCCGATTGAACAAGACCGAAGAGTCGAGTCGAGTCCAGAGTGACAGAGTAAAAGGTTGTAGGTAACCGGAAGAGTGAGGGGTGAGGTAACAGCGTTGTAGGAGTCACAGTGAGTGAGCACGTAGACTCAGTAAGAAGTCATACAGCGATACTTCAATACCAAAGACTGTATATATATTTTGCTACTAACCCGCATTCCTGGAACTACTAACCTGCTTTACCAGTTTGTATTATTACGTTAATACTTTATTTTCATTACTGGCGTTTGTTATTTATTGTTACCGGATTTCAACCCGGAATCCACAACAATAAGCGATTTAATTCATGGAAACTTTTTATAATTAGTAAAGTAAATTCGGATACATTTTTCCAAAATGAAAATGCTAAATTTAAAGTTTAACCTTTATAGAGTGTGTTATATGCCGTACCTCTGAACACTAATGAGCATGTCCCAATCCTCATACTTTGGATACTATTGTAAGTAGGGGTAATGTGCTGTCTTAGTAGTCCACCATTAATAGTGGTTTACCTATTCACGCCGCTGGCGAGTATTGTATTTTGTTGATGTTATAAAGATTACCATTCTCATTTCCAACCTCTGTTTGGTTATTCCTCATTCAGTAACCCTTTCTAGGTTACAACAGTGTTTTTTCAAAACAAATGAAATTTCTAATTGGTATTTTCTTTAATATGGAACGTTTCTCTCGTATCGACTCTCGTGGTCCATCTAAAATGATTCTTTTGTAGCCTTTCAATTTGATCTCGAATACGTGTGTTGTTTACAAATATCATCTATATGACAATTGGAATGTCATCGCCTTCAAAACTATGTTAATTGATTAGCACTACTATGGCTGCAATCTGTGCGTAAAACAAACCATCAGAAGTGTGTCGAGACAAACAGAGTTCTGATGGGTCTGTGTGTAGACAAAGAGAAAACAATCTAGCAATAAATGTCGTAAACAGGTGAAGAATTGAAAAAAACAAACAAGACTTCTTCCACCGCGAGGAAAGTTGGCTCTCTGTGCCGCACCAAGAATTTTTTCTCCCCGGAATCGATACTTCAAATATACAAATCAACCATACGCCCTTTGCATGGAGTATTGCTGCCATATATGGTCTGGGGCACCTTCTGTTTACCTCGGAGTTCTTGACAAGATCCAGAGACGGATATGTAATATAATTGGCCCTGATATGGCGTCTCATCTACAATCACTCTCTCACAGACGCGCCGTCGCCTCTCTCTGTCTTTTCTACAAATACTTTCATGGTAATTGCTCCGATGAGTTGCTTTCACTGGTTCCCAGACTCCATGAATTCAAGCGCCCTACGAGGCAGGCATCCCGCTCCCACCCTTACACTGTAGAAACTTTTAAATGTAGCCGTCTCTTCTACTCCAATAGCTTCATACCTCGCACCTCTCGCCTGTAGAACACCCTTCCAAATTACTGTTTCCCTGAGAGCTATAATCCAACTATTCAAATGTAATGTCAATCGACACCTCCAGTTACCTTGATCTATCCACTATCCTTCTCCTCATCCTTTCTTCTATCACTCCTATCTGCTCTCGCTCCAAATCTTCTGCAACCCCCTGCATCCTAGTGGCTTTACACCTTGCTCGGGGCGTAATGCTTAAAAAAAAAACAAACACGCCTCGGTAGTACTAGTATCGCTAAAAAATACTTGATCTATAAATGATGTACAATAAAAGCAAAAATTTGTAGAGTGAAGACGGAAATAAATACAAAGAGTCAATTCAAAAATGACAAAAAATAGTGTCCGAGTCAGAGGATTTGCGCAGCCTTCAGGTTAATAAATTAATACTTTCAAAATACCCTTTAAAATATGCAGTAGCAAAGTCACCAGGTCAAACAAGTCAGTAAGGAGAAGGAGTGGCAACATACATCAACAGATTTCTGACACCACTTTTTAATAATAATTCCATTAATTATTCGCACGTCTTCCTCAACAAGCTACGTTACACTTATACTCTTCCTCACCAAGCCACGTGACATTTACACTCTTCCCCACCAAGCTACGTGACACTTACACTTCCCCCTCACTTTCTTCCTTGCCTCTTTTCTTACACATACACGCGAATAAATCACATTTCTTTTCATCTTAACAAGCAACTAGAAAAAAGAATCTTTAACACTTATACACGCTGAGAAAAACATTAGTTGTAAAAACACGAAATAAGAATATTTTTTTTTTTATATTCCAAAAAAATCTCGCTTTTTTTTTCTTTTTTTTTTTGTTGGTTGATACAATTCCGTAGCAGGTTGACATTTTTTTTATAAAATTGCGACACCCAGTCCATTCCAGAAGACAAAATCTTATCACAATTCCCACTTGAATTGGCTAGATGAAAACCGTAAGTTCTATGCTAACAGTTTCTTCCCTCGCAACTGAGATTTGTGGAACTCTCTTCAGGCTTAGTGCTTTCCAGTCAACTTTGATCTTCAAAAATGTAAACGCAATGTCAATCGTTATCTACTGTTTTCTTGATTGCTCTACTAGTCTTCTTGCTCCTTAATAATGTTCATCTTTTCTCTTATTCTGTCATACTTAGTAACCCCTTGTGTCTAACTGTTTTTACTTGCATGGGGTGAAATGATTTTTTTAAAAAAAAAACTGTAATCGAACAAGAGATACCCTTGGCTGGGATTTTTTAATTTTCAGGTAGCCGGTGAGATAACGAGGATTTTTATGCGAAAGTGCGCACTAAGCCTCATTTGGAATTTGAACTCGAAACGCCAATTACACTTTCCGTCTACAAAACCGCTACATTAGGCTCCCACCCGAAACCAACCGCAAAGCAACGCACAGATTTTCATTAAATAGCTATGTAGACGATACCAGGGTTTATGGTCGCACCTGCAAACATTTAAATGTTCATAATGACTGGGAACAATATGGTCTACTCGAGGTTCGTATTTATTATTGAAACTTGGACTCGTCCATCCGCTATGAGCGTTATACGAACCTCAAGTAGACCATATTGTTCCCAGTCGTTATCAACGACGTTTGGACTCTCAATTTGCTTGGGCACCTCGGCGTTGTTAATAGTTAGCAAGGTTATCTCGCTAAAAAGTTACGACTGAATAGTGAGTTCGGTCCTCACTGGGTGCTCAATACTTTCGGCCGTGTGCCACATCTAAGCTACGCTTAGAAAATCAATAATAGGGCTACTCCACTCCCGGCTTATGCCGGAGGGATTAGCAGAGGGGAAGAAGTGTGTTTTCCGTTGTAGTATCTGTTCCGTGTCGGGGGCCTTCTCACCTCACTTGCGTCCCTCCCCCAACGCTGTTGCATGTTACTCAGTGGTGATATGACCGGCTATGACAAGCTAATACCAGCTTAGACATGCTTTGACCAGCTAAGACCAGCTTAGACCAGCAGCCCGAATGTTTCCACTCGGGTCCCCACACTAAAAATCGACATTGTGTCACAACCTGATTAAGCGAGGTGGGGGGGGGGTAAGGTAAATCTCGCACACCTAATGTGCTTCCTTCCATTTTAACGTCTATCGGGACTAGATTCTCCCCAAACCTCAAGTGGAACTCAGGTCTGCGATCCATCAATAAAGAGCTGGAAAAAATAGTTGGTTCCATGTAGCGTTCTAGAACGTACCTGACTCCTCTTGACACGCTCTATCATTGTAAGAGCCGGATCCGACCAAAAATGGAGAATTGCTGCCATATCTGTACTGGATATGCTCACTTTCCCGCTTTGATAGATTTCAAAATCGTTTATGCGGCCGTGTGGGCGACGAAATAATTTTAAGCCTACAGCTCTTTTCTCATGGATGAAACGTTTCTACTATAGCTATTTCCATGACAAATTTTCAGACTAGCTACTTTCCTTTGTCCCAACATTTAATTTTTTTTTCAGCCAGGACCCGTCATACTACGTGCATGGGGTCAAATCATTCCCTTCGTATTCCATTTGTAAGGAGGAAGTTTCACTCGTGCAGTTTCTTCCCGATAGTCACTACCTTGTTTCTTCAATCACGAGATTGATTTCTACGGCTTAGCAACCGGTTACTTAAATCAGAAAATATCTTTAGATTGTATTTTTTTTTTAGATAATAATGATTTAATGATACAAGTTTTAAAAATTAACCCAAAGCTGGAGTGGATCCATACTCTTCCCGAGAATATTTGCGCGTAAGTGAATATAACGAACCCAACTGGAATTGGAACTCGGTTCTTCGATTAACAATTCCGAGCCATTATCAGTTAGACCAGCCACACATCCAAACTTACAGCACTAGGAATTTCCAAGCGGTCACCTATCAAGGTACGGACCAAGCTCACCATTGCTTAACTTCGGCGATCGTACAAGAACCGGTGTTTCAAAATGATGTAACCGTAATGCCCGATCATTAGAATTTTAACTGCTTCGTATCATCCGTTATCTATCCGACATGTCCTCATCATCCGCACTTACATCATCCTATTACGCCCATAAAAAATCTCAATCAGTAATCCTCTGCCATGAGTGGTTCTTGGGCCTTGAACATTTAATAAAAAGGAAAGGAAAATACTGAGTGCTGGGCCCGTAAAATAGTCTTAATGCGACTTGATCTACACTGTGAACTCGTAGGATTATTCTTATCCCAAATAACACTTATGTCATTTTTAACACTGAGTCCTTAAGACGTAAGCAATCATGTCTTCCTACACATTTCTTTCTTAACTGAATTCGCAGTACTTGGGGTACAATAATTGAGTGATTTCTCATTTCCTTCTCCAGTTTTGAAGTTAGAGTAGACTTTCTCTTATACCGGCTGCCACTCAAGGTTCGAGATTCCAGTCTAATCTGCTGTTCAACCCATAGTTAAAAAGGGAAATTGAGTTATGCTGTATTTATGGGAAGGAGAATGCAACTGAGTAGGAAGGGGTGTTTACTTTCTCTGCCAATAATTGCTGTACTACCCACACATACCAATAATATAAATAAATAAATACTCTGGAATGTAGCGATCCAGACAAATACTTAATTCACGAAGGACATTTAAACATGTCTAGTGTGAACGAAGCGAAGAAAATCTGCCAAACTGGCTGTTCAACACCCTGCTTGTTGAAGATAAAAAAAAATAAACTAACAAATAAGATAGCAGTACTTGAGCAAGTGAAGCTGGGGGTCATGCCTTTATTACATGGCGCACTGGGAATAGTCAAAGTAGTTACAGCAGCTAAGTTGAAGAAAATGTCGACCGAAAAAGGGGCTGTGTTGCTCGATGGGGAGAACGTTAAATATGCTGGATATATTCAGGAGACTACTGTTACTTGATCCCCAGTGAAAACCAAGCGGTAATGACAATGACAACGGGATAAGAAGCTGAACATGAAGTAATGACAATATTGCACTGGTGTTAAAAAAAAGTAAAAAACAAGAAAAGCCAGAAAAAATAAAATAAAGAATATATTGAAAAAATAAACTGACATACTTCGAATAGAGAAGTCAGCGAAATATGGTGTATTCATTTTTTTGCAAAAAAAAAAAGCAGCTTCGTTTCAGTGTATGCAAAGTGAAACTTAATTAGCTACCATAATGAAATATGCGATGATGGCACGTTCGACAGAAAAAAGGGTGGGGCGTATGTTTTGGAATAAAAGCTATCGGCAATAAAAATTAATTGCAGTTCTATGATAGTTGCGCCAAAAAGCATTCTGCTAAGTGTAAAAATTACGGAAGATGGAAGAGCTGGTTTCGAAAATTCGTTGAATATCGACAGGCATGAAGTTAAATAACAATAGTTGGTTGATTGTTGATATATATATATATATATATATATATATATACACAAGTGGGTGTGTGTATACTGATAGTAATACTCGGTTAGAAAAAAAAACTCGATAGCACAACTTGTGAGCATATTAAAACAAATTAGTACCCGAGGGGAAAAAAAAAGATAGAACTAGAAACATCCAGCTTACCCTGAAGATCGGTTTAGGTGAAACCTAAGTAGGTTGTTCCTGGCTCTTTAGTATTATATATATATATATATATATATATATATATATATATATATATATATATATATATATTGTATGAGGTTTTGCATCATTAGTTATTCTTGTTCTCGCTGACTATAAAGTGACAGGGAATCACCTCACGTATTGTTATTAATATAATTTTCATTGTCTGTTTTTTCAATAGAACTGTTACGACCTGCAACCCCGAAGTCAATCTGTAACAAATCCCCACCTGGTGTTTCTTCCTTTCCCCAAGTTTATTGGTATTATATCAGTTTCCTCTGGATTTACTTCAGTGATCAAAGCAGAAAGCAGAGTCACGTTCAACTTCCTGCCTAGTCTGTTGCGTTAGCTCTCGTTATATTTGGAGTTCTATGGTTTGAGATGATGGAGAGAAATTCTACCTTTTTGAAGTGTTTTGCCTTGTGATTTTGTCTATAGCTCTTGCAAACGCAGGGAGAACGCGAACTTAATTCTTGTATATGTAAAAAACTTAAAAGTTATTTAAAAAAAAAACAATATTGCATGGACTAGTTCATATAGTCACGGGATGGGTACTATTTATGCCAGAACTTGATCAATAGATGAATATGAGGTAAGAGTTCAGAATTTCAGTTTTATTTCCTGCTATTTACATTGAATTTCCTCTTCTAAATTCAAGCCGCTAAGCCATGATATGCCTCGATGTGACACATTTTCGACTTCTCTTTCGTATTTGTATGTAAGGATAGTGGTTCGTATTGAGTAATCGGAGAGCCGAGTTCGAATTCTCGTCGAGTTTGTCATATTCACTTATTTGCAAATACGGTAGAGAAAGGCATAAATCCATCACTTCTCCTTCTATCTATGGGTAAATAGTGGAACAGACCGTACACTGTAGCCTTAACGGGCATTGTGTCTAGGAGACAACTCTGAATTCAAAATCTGACGAGGATCGTTTGGGGGAATTTTGTCACGCTGTCGGCCTGTTCTCTGTGTCTAAAAAGTGTTGTTTGTTGTGCACAAGCCTTCACCACTATATGCGGGCAGTCAGGCTGTTACTTCTAAGAACTGAACGATTGCACCCTCTTACGCCACAAAAAAGTAGAGATACCTCTCTCCCTCTCTCTCTCTCTATATATATATATAGATTCTCCCGTCGGGTTCGACATATGAGGGTCAAGCAGATCAGTTTCCAGGAAACCGACAGCGGCACATGAGACTCGATTATAGTGGTGAAGGCTTCGTGCAGGACCATCCACACTTTTCGAAGGGCGGAATACAGAGACCTGGTGCACTACGTGCCACAAGGTCCCAAAACAACCCCCCTCAGATTTTGAATTCAGAGTTGTCCTTCTCCTAGACCAGTTGCCATCCGAATCTATAGAACCCAGTCTGTCCTGCTATCTAACCCATAGCTAGAGGCAGAAGAAGATTCACACCTTTCCCAAGGATATTAGCACGTAAGTGAATGTAATGGGTTCAACCTGGATTCGAAGGGTAATATTTTTTAAAAAATCCACATTACAACCAAAAACGTTTGCGGTTTCTCTTTTCATTTTAATATATATATATATATATATATATCTGTGTGTGTGAAAATATATAGAAAATAGGAAAGAACTGGTTAGGTAAATAATCCAAAGTTCCTTAGTATTTTAGTTATTATTTTTAAAAAATAGTGCTCGATACAAAAATAGAGCATAAATATAATTATTTATTTAAAATATGATTCCAAATTGCGACCTCTTATATCACGAGTTCGAATCATACTTTTAAATAAATAATTACATATATATATATATATATATATATATATATATATATATATATATATGTGCGTGTTTGTTAAATATTATTTGCTTTTGATGTTATCAGGTACTGAATTACTTTCGCTGTAAAGACAAATTTCATTGTTATCTCATTTTCTCGTACACTGGGAGATGTGAGCCTCACGAATCGAATAAGTTCCAGCGATTGAAGGCCTTTCTGAAAGCGAAAACTATGGTGGGTTGTGTTAATGACTGAATTGAAAAAACAATACCGCTTAAAAAATAATGAAAGAAAAAAACCGTAATGAAAGAATTGGCTTAAGGGATTTTTAGGATAAAAGAGATGGCTAGAAGTAATTGAATAAAAATTGAAGGAAAAACGCGATGTTGATTTAAGGAAAAAAATGAACGAGAAGTTTGTCGAAGTAAAGAATTTTTTTTAAGTTGGCTCTACAGAAGAACAAGAAGGCAGAACGTTACTTGAAATAGAAAAACCGAACAAAACAAAAAAAAAATCTGTTGAAATTTAAGAAAATGAAAATTGTAAAATGCAGACGAAATTTTAGGGAGACAAACGAGAAATGATAACATTCGGATCATTGATGGAAAAATACGAGAAAAAAGAAAAGAGTAAAAAATAAAAACAAGCCATAAAATCGATTCTTCAATTAGGGCCTCGATATAAAATCTGAAAATGTATTTTGAATAAAAAAAACATCTTAAGCTTGCCCAAATAAATGCAACATTAAATTAGCGAACAAATGTTTATAACTAAAGAAAAGTTAATCTGTCATTAAAATTAATGGAAAAATCTGTCATTAAAATGGTCTATGTCATTAAAAATATCATTATCTATGCTATTAAAACTATCAATGTCATTAAAAATCTAAACGTTACTAAGTCATTAAAATTAATGAAAAGTTAATATGCCATTATAATAACTATGTAGGAAACTTAACTTTGTCAGAACACAAGACCGAAATATTCAACGAGAATCGAAATGACTAATGTGATTAGAAACGTTTGCTAATCATAACTTAATTATTGCTATTTTTCTAAGTTCAGTCTAGTGTGGCAGAGGGTGACACGTGTGGATTCCGTAGCGATATACAATGTTGCTCACTAAACCAGCTGAGATTCTTTAAAATGGCATGACAGTTGGAAGCAGTGTGTGATGACACTCTTGTTTATTTCCGTTTAGTCTCAACCCAAATATTTCGGTCTGTGAGCTGAGTGCTGTGATTTACAACTTTTCTTCATGAAACTGGCAGATGGGAGGAATTCAAATTCCATAAAAGAGGAACTATTTCGCCAGCTAAAGCTTCTCGCATTTTCTTAACGTCTGCCTATCCTTGTTTCGATGTCAAAGTACTTGAGCGATTCCTTCGAATAGTAGTTGCCGAAAACGATGTCACTTTTTGATCACACATTTTTTTCTCTGCATCTAGCCACAAGGATCACATGACATCAGGTCCAAAGCGTATCGCTGCATTAAGTAATAATTGTCTGAGATTACAGCATGCAAATTCTCCGTAGCGACGCATACAAGTTGGTTTTTTATCTATCTATCTATCTATCTATCCGTTCGTCAGACCCTCTAAAATAGCCATATACTGACCGATCAAAATCAAATTTTTGG